AGAACCACCCATAGAAATAAAACACCAAAACAATGCATTAATGAATAAAATAATGAAAATAAAAATAATTTTCATCTTAAATTTTTGTTTTATTTGATTTTTAGGAATACTTTAGTATTAAACTCTAGAAATCGCGAATTATAAACTCTGTTTATGTATAAATTTCAATTTTGCTAATAGTTGCGCACTCGTATTTCGTAACGCCATTTATTTTTTGCCTCGTATTTTTTGCCATTTATTTTTTGCCCTTCAAGATATTTTTTTAAACCTTAAACAGTTGCATAAAACTGTCTTTTGTGCTCTTAAAAAATGTCTTTTATGCTTTTAAACTTTTATTTTAAAAGTTTTTTTGGTAATTATTAACGTTGAAATATAGTAAATTATGGCTTTATAAATAAATATGTCTGTATATGTATGTATATGAAAGAGGGCCGTTTCTCGTAAATCATTGTCAATCAATCATTCTCGATTTTACTATTGAGATACAAAATTCTTAATGGGGATAGAGATAAAATTTTCCGAAAATAGTGGAGGTAGACAAGAAAGATAAAATTGAGTGAATTTATTTTACGTGTTAAAATGTCAAATGCTGAGTTGTTTCGAAATTTCGAGTTTCTCAAAATTGGCTAGGTAGAACTTTAAGCAGTTTCTGGCTCCTTTAAGATCGACACATGACTTGGTTTCGAAATTTTTGTGAATTTTGGAGAAATAATAAGCAAAAATTCATCCATTTATAGCGCCACAGACAAAATTTTTAAACCTTTGGAAGGTTAAGAAGCAAGATTTCTTCTATGTATTTCTTATCGAGTGCGACACTTGGGGACGGACTTTTGCGGACCGACATTTGAGGACCGACATTTGAGGATTGTCGTTTAAGTATAAGAATATTACCATTTCTCCCAATAATCATCATCCTGATTTTCGGGCGTCTGAAACAAATTATTTGTTTGTGAAGGTGGTTGGAATTGATGTGGATATTCATCGGGAACATCAGAATCATTTTCTTTGACAGAATATTCTTCATTATCTATTTCAAAAATTTTTGACTTTTTAGTACTATAAAATAATTCCAGATCTTTAATAGTTTCATTTGTCACATTAATTGTGTTTTTATTATTCTTTAATTTCTCTAAAATCTTATCAAGATCCTCCTTTTTTGCAACATTTTTGCTATAAAAAATATAATCTATAAAAGTTCTATTTTAAAAGATGTATTTTTGAAGAGATTCACTTATATTTTCACTGACAAGGATTTTCATTTGCGAGAATTATTAAAATGTTAGAAATGATGTAAGGATGATTCACCCAGCAGCATTTAAAACGCTTAGGCGGGGGTTAAACGATCTAAAAAGGAAAAAGAGAAAGCATTAGTCGATGCCCCGGTAGCTCAGAGGTAGAGCTCCTGCATATAGTGAGCGAAAGCGCCTAGCAACAACTAGCAGGTGGTCGCAGGTTCGAATCCTGCCCGGTGCTAAACTTTTGCAAACTCTTTCTATGACAGTGATTTTTAAAACAGAAAATGTTTACGATGTATTTTTATGATTGCTGTAAACACAAATTCCATGTGCAGCCAAAACAAACTCGACAAAACGGGGTTGAATTTTCAAATGTTTTAAAAAGTTGTTCATAGACACTTCCCCATATTCATATAATGCTATTATTCCACGAATATATTCTTTCTAAAATAAAGTTAAATAAAAATTATTTCTATCAAAGAAAACACCCAAAAATTCTACTAAAATTACTTTGTGAATTTGCCTTTTACTTATGAACTTTTCTTTCTTACGATTAACTACAGACGGACCAGATCATTTTATGCATATTTACCTTATATTCATCATCTTTAAAGCGATTAAGCAATCGTTCTCCATTTGAATTTTTTACCATTTCTAAGGCATCTCTAAATTCTTTATTATTATCCAAATAAAGTTTAATCAACTTTTCCTGTGTTATTTGGCTAGGATAAATTACTTTATCCTTTTTATCAGTACATTTATTCTTCTTTTTTAGAGCATTCAAATTATTTTTAATTTTATTTTCATATTCTTGATTGTATTGCCTTTTAGATGACGACCCTTCTCCTTTATATCGAGAAGAACCACCCATAGAAATAAAACTCCAAAACATTGCATTAATAAATAAAATAATGAGAATAAAAATTATTTTCATCTTAAATTTTTTATACGGATAAAAACACATTTGGAAAGAAAAGACCCCCCACAAAATATTTCTTTTAAAACCTTAAATATGTAGTTACATAAATAAAAGTGGCCCTCTTCTGCTAGGAGTGATCCTTCTAGTGATCCTTCTACATAAATTGTTTTTATGTATATAGGTTTTTAATTTTTAATTAAAAATTTTGAATTAACATTTAAGCTTATTAATCTAATTTAAATTGAGAGCTAATAAGGGGTAAGAAGGCATGCTTGTTAACAAATCATTTGATTTTACTATCGATATAAAATTTCTTAATGGGGATAGAGATAAAATTTTCCAAAAATAGTGGAGCTAGACAAGAAAGATAAAATAGAGTGGGATTTATTTTATATGTTAATGTCTAATGCAGCGTTGTTTCGAAATTTCGATCTTCAAGTTTCTTTCGTTCGAAATTTCGAGTTTTTCAAAATTGACATTGTAGAACTTTCAGCAGATTCCGGCTTATTTAAATAATAAATAATTAAATTTACTAAAAAATAAATGTTATCATTAGGCCTAGGATTTATATAGAAATAGGGCAAAAAACGACCTTGGTTATGAATAAGCCTTGACTGACCAGTGTCTGACCGTTGAGTTCTAATTAGAGGTCGGCAAAATTGCATTTCCGGGATGCCGGAACAGGATTGAGTTTAAAAATTTTGAACGGGACGGGATCCCGCGGGGTTAATCCCGTAAATCCCGGTAATCCCGTTTGTCGCTAAAAACCCGGCATTTCGGGACAGGATCCCGTAAAATCCCGTACGGCGTTTTGTGCGTGCCGAGCTCTAGTTCTAATAGAAGAAAGTCAGAAATGACCAGTGATATATCTAATAAAGAAGAGACAGTTGTCAGTTCGCGGGCAAGGTCGCTTCAGTGATTTATTTAAATATAAATCCGAGCCCTGTTATCATTAATTAATCCTTTATTCGCTTTTTGAAAACCTAGCACAATTTAAAACCGCAGGCTTTTAATGCGCGTCCTCGGACGCGCCTCCAAATTGTAAACAAATGCTCTCTCGACGTAATTAATGCTGTTTCGTACATATTAAACTAGTTTAATCCTTCAGCTGGTTAAAAATAAAAAAGATATTTGGTTTAGGTAATTTTTAAAATAAAGTTGGTAAAGTAAATGTTTGAAGTAATTGCTTTGGATATTTTATTTTGGGAAAAATATTTTATGATCAAAATTTTATCAAGATTTTTTGTTTACTGATGGATGAAATATGTATGTTAAATAATAATTTAAATAGAAAATATTTTTTGTTAAATCTTTAAATAATTTATAATATCACTAAATAATGTATTTTTAACAATCTTGAATTTTGTTCTCTCACAATTAATATTTACATAGTCGATTCATTCCATTTCTCCCAATAATCATCATCTTCATCTTCGGGCGTCTGAAACAAATTATTTGGTTGGGGTGGTTGGTATTGATGTTGATATTCATCAACCTCATCAGAATCATTTTCTTTGACAGAATATTCTTCATTATCTATTTCTTTTAAATTTTCTGACTTTTTACTAGTACTATAAAATAATTCCAGATCTTTAATACTTTCTTTTGTCACATTAATTCTGTTTTTATTTTTCTCAATTTTCTCTAAAAGTTTATCAAGATCCTCTTTTATGACATTTTTACTATAAAAATACATATAATCTATAAAACTATGTTTTAATTCTTTAAAAGATGCGCTTATGTTTTTACATGTGAGTAGAGTAGGTCGAGGTCTCGCCGAGGCCCTCGCCCATTTTCATACATCGACCACGATTTAGCTAGCACCCCTTAAACTCCACCAAATCCCACGATAATCAGCGATAGAGAGAGATGGATATCAAGCACTTGAAATCCATCTCATTCCTCTGTTACCACTCGATAAACGCATACATAATCTACATAAATCCCCCGAAATAATATTATCCATTGATTTTCCACCACGAGCACGGAGCCAGCATTGATCATGGGCGTATCATGGGATTTCGGCGGATTAAGAGAGATATAGGCGGATTAAGAAAATAAATGGGATTTGGATGATGATCCCCTGCATCACTGTCAACAAATACCCAGCACTGATGTTAATTTTTTTGTAAAAGTTTTGTTTTTGATAAAATTATTTTAGAATACTGTTTTATAAAAATTACTCGATTTCTCGATTTACTCGTACTTGAACTCGGCCTAAAAAGTTGAATTCGTACTCGAACTCGGGGTTTTCAAACTCGGCATTACTCGAACTCGGTTTTTCCCCAATTAGTCGGTACTCGACTTACTTAATAAAGAGTACTCTAATAAAGAGTACGTTTTTCTTGTTTATTAATGTACTATTACTCCTATAATTATTTAAAATGTTAGATATGACAGTGATTTTTAAAATAGAAAATGTTTACGATATATTGTTGTGTTTGTTGTAAACACAAATTCCATGTGCAGCCAAAACAAACTCGAGAACACGGTGTTGAATATTTAAATATTTTTTAAAGTTATTCATAGACACTTCCCCAAATTCATATAATGCTATTATTCCACGAATATATTCTTTCTAAAATAAAGTTAAATAAAAAATCATTTTTTATCATATAAACTAGGGTTACGGTCTACGGGTCTCAGATAAAAGGCATAAACGGTATACGGTCCTTCTAAGCGGCGTTAACTATCCTCTCAAAATTTTTTCCTCCGGCGGTAAAAAAAGAAAGGAATCTGACTATTGGCCTTCCAAAATTCTAAAAAAAACGGACGTTTAAGCGGGGTTTTCAAAATTAGACGAAACGGTATACGGGTCTCAGATAAACGGTGAAAAAGGTTGTCTTTTACATAATGTGCCTTTCACGATTTAACTTTTCTTTCTTAAAATTAACCACACTGGACGGGCACACAATCATTTTATTCACATTTACCTTATATTCCTCATCTTCAATGCGATCAAACAAGCGTTTTATATTCAAATTTTTTGTCATTTTTATAGCATCTCTGAATTTCTCATTTTTCCCCAAATAATTTTCTATCAACTTTTTCTGTGTATCTTCACTTGGATAAATTACTTTATTCTTTTTACCAGTACATTTATTCTTCTTTTCTAGAATATCCAAATTATTTTTAATTTTATTGTCATATTCTCGCATGTATTGCTTTCTAGATGTCGACCCTTCTCCTTTATGTCGAGAAGAACCACCCATAGAAATAAAACTCCAAAACAATGCATTAATGAATAAAATAATGAAAATAAAAATAATTTTCATCTTAAATATTTTATACAGATAAAAACACGTTTGGAAGTACTATTATACATAGAAGTATATGGGAGCATAAAACTCTAATTACCGTATTTTTCCCAATAGAAGCGCACGTCCCATTTGAAGCGCACGTCCCAATAGAAGCGCAGTCTACGAGGAGGTTGAAAAATACAAGCGCAGGTCCCATTAGAAGCGCACGTCCTATTATAAGCGCACCCTATGAAATACTTATTTGAGAAATATAAATTTTAATTTTCAAAAAATTTAGAATTACTATTTACTTTTTAGTTACTTTTTACTTACTTTTTAGTTACTATTTTAAACAAGTATTATAAAATGGAAATTGATGCTTAGGTAAATGTCCAAGTAATGTAACCGGTGATATGTATACTCGAAAACGCAAATCTTATTCTATCGATAAATTTTTTCAATCTTTCCTTTGTACTACTTTCACTTAAACGACATGATCCCTCTCTTGTCGAAAGATTTAAGGTTTTTTGAGTTATAATCGGGGAAAAACTTATTTCCATCTTGCTAGGAGATGGAGTGGAAAAAGCTGGATGGATGATGCCCTCACTGCCGAATATTTGAGAGCAATTATAGTGTAATCATTGTTCTCACAACGCTTGCTTTTTTGGGTCCACAACCAAAAAATTTTATTTCGGATGGATAGTTAAAGTATGAGATGTGATTTCAAAAGGAAATGTTGCAAAAAGCTTTAGGGTTTGTGGAATTGGAATTCCAAGTGATGTTCCAAAGATGATGAAATACATTGTTTAAGGCCAGATGGTCAGGATTTATTACATCAAGCATGAGAGGATAAAGAAATTTATTAATTTTTTTTCTATTATGTTATAAAAATTAATTCGCATAGGAGTTGAAAAATACAAGCGCACGTCCCATTTGAAGCGCACGTCCCAATAGAAGCGCAGTCTACGAGGAGGTTGAAAAATAGAAGCGTATGCGCTTCTATTGGGAAAAATACGGTATGTATATACCGCTAAGAAATGAAGAGAGTTAAATCTTAAGAACTTTGGAAGGATTATGGCAAGAAAAGAAATTTTATGTGATAAAACTATGGCGATAAAAAATCAGTCCTTGTGTTAGTTTTATGGTACTAATCTCAACCTACTGGAAGCAGAAGTGGTACTTTTACCTATCATTGGCATGTTTATAATTCAAATATTTACCACCATTTTTATTTGCAATAGGTTCAGTTTGGCACCATAAATCTGTGGAATAGCGAATTTTTAAGTTTCTTAATTTTTTTACTTAAAATTTTGGATGTTAACTTTAGTGTGTATTAGGATATATTAAATTGAGAGCTAATGTAAGAGTAAGAAAGCTTTTTCCTCGAATTTTAATTTTGGGACGCATATACTTTCATGGGACGTTTATCCTTAGATAGAGCCAATCTATCTACACTATTTGCGAATGATCTCAATAAAAAAATCTCTATCTCAATCAAAAAAATTTTATAGCTCAATGATGAAATCGAGAATGATCGAGAAGATTCGAGAAGAATAAGTTTACGATGATCCTCATTTCTTTCCGTAAACACAAATTCCATGTGCATTCAAAATAAAACACGGTGTTGAATTTCCAAAACAACTGTCGCTGTAAAAATAATGAGCTGGATGCGGCGCGACGGTATGGCCCGAACAACTGTTGCGATTGAATTAGACTGAATAGGATGGAAGTATAGCTGAGCTAGTTGGGAGGTAGCTGAGCTTGAATGTCCCGGGAATCCCTCAATTTTTTGATAATTGGTTGAACGAGTGGATGGAACCATAGCTCTTTAGATTGGCGAGCGGATTGGTTTGCGACTCTTAAATGGACGAGCGGATGGGATCGCACGCTCTTTAGTGGATTTTCGAAATGCCCACTCTTTGCTCGGACACAGAAGAAAATTTTTTGGCAAAGTTCGCACCTAAATACATGCTCACGTAAAAAAATTTTTCCAATAAAATTTCGTACTGTATTTTTTAAGAATTTTTGAACAGTGCTATTTTAAACTTTGGGAGGAGGTGAAATTTTGCGAACGCTAAATCTTTAAGAAAAACTTGCGCTTGAATAATTGGTCTCACGCTCATAATTGGTCTCACGCCGAAGCTCAATATTTTTTTTTGTGAATTTGAAATAAATAATTACCCATGGTAACTATTTGTGTATATATACATACGTTGATGAATTTTAAGCTATTATATAATTCCTTATTTTATTTGGAGATTTTAAAATCACCAAGCATTTTTAACAAATTTATTTTAGTTGCCATCTCAACAACTCAAATAACATTATGTTACAGTTTCAAAACCAACGTACCGTTATCACCGTTATCAGCTCCGATAGGTTTAGAATTTGTCAAGATATTTGTTTTAGCCAATTTGGCAAGTTATTGGGGGCATTTTCTGTTGAATAGTTATTATTCTGTTTGCACTTTCTTTAAACTTTTAATTACCAATTTATTATTCGGCATTTGAAAAATATAAAGAATTTTGCACTTTTTAAATAGCAATTTATTTTGACTCTTGATTGCACTTTTAGAATACAAAAAATGTAGTTTAATGGTCTCTCAACGCTACAAGCGATATTGAATAGGCATGCGTCTCACTCTCATTTTTACATGAAATATTGTAAAGTTTAGATAGGAAGAGAGGATGTTAAAAATAAAAAAGATATTTGGTTCATGGAAGTTTTTAAATAAAGTTGGGTAAGGTTTGAATTAATTGCTTTGGATATTTTAATTTGGGAAAAATATTTTTTATCAAAATTTTATCAAGAAAATTTTTTAGTCACTGATGGATAAAAATGATTCATAATAATTTAAATAATAAAGCTAGAAAATCTTTTTTTTTAATCTTTAAATAATTTATAAAATCACTAAATAATTGTTTATGTTTTTAACAAGGTTGAATTTTGTTCTCTCACATAGTCGATTCGTTCCATTTCTCCCAATAATAATCATCCTGATCTTCGGCCGTCTGAAACAAATTATTTGCTTGGGAAGGTGGTTGGAATTGATGTGGATATTCTTCAACCTCATCAGAATCATTTTCTTTAACAGAATATTCTTCCTTATCTGTTTCTTCAAATTTTTTGTGCTTTTTAGTACTATAAGATAATTCCAGATCTTTTATAGTTTCTTTTGTAACATTAATTGTATTTTTATTATTCGCAATTTGCCCCAAAAGCTTATCAAGATCCTCTTTTATGACATTTTTACTATAAAAATATAATCTATAGTATGTTAAATAATAATTGTTCTAAAAGATTTAATTCTTGAAAAGATTCAATTATATAACCACTTGTGACGAGATAATTTTATTTATAGAAAATAGAAATTTTAAAGAATTCTTTTTTATTGATTATTAATTCAAAAAATTATTTGAAAAATTCGAAGCGAATTATAATTATTTAAAATATTAGAAATGACAGTGATTTTTAAAATAAAAAATGTTTACGACGTATTGCTATGATGGTTGTAAACACAAATTCCATGTGCAGCCAAAACAAACTCGAGAACACGGTGTTGAATATTTACATATTTTTTAAGGTTATCCATAGACACTTCCCCATATTTATATAATGCAATTATTCCACGAATATATTCTTTCTAAAATATATTAGTTAAATAAAAATTCAGTTTTTATCAGAGTAACTCTAACAGAATAACTAAAAATGCCATTAAATTAAATTTGTTAATTTGCCTTTTATTTATAAACTTTTCTTTCTTAAAATTAATTACACTGGATGGACCCACGATCATTTTATTCCCCATTTACCTTATATTCCTCATTTTCAAAGCGATCAAACCATCGTTCTCCATCTAGATTTTTTAACATTTTTAAAGCATCTCTAAATTCTTTATTATTCTTCAGATAAAGTTTAATCAAATTTTCCTGTGTTTTTTGGCTTGGATAAATTACTTTATTCTTTTTACCGGTACATTTATTTTTCTCTTTTAGAGCATTCAAATTATCTTTAATTTTATCGCTATATTTTTGATTGGATTGCTTACTAGATGACGACCCTTCTCCTTTATGTCGAGAAGAACCACCCATAGTAATAAAACTCCAAAACAATGCATTAATGAATAAAATAATGAAAATAAAAATAATTTTCATCTTAAATTTTTGTTATAATTAAAATAAATAAATATTTTTGAATTATTTTTGATACAGCCGAGTTACAAAACACTTAATAGCTGTTTAAAGAACAATGTGTGCTTAACTATTTAGAAGAAAATTCAAGAAATTAGTTTAAAGTCTAACAATAATCTATGTATTGCTGCGTACACTCAGTCAGAAATCTATGAGCACCTCTATTGTAAACTAACAGATTAAAATTTAACTAATAATTATAAGCTAATCTAACATCGACTTTGATTGAAGGCGGACTTATGTTTAAAGTCTGAAGGCAGTTATCGATGTCTGCTTAATTGTTTCTTTATAAAATTAAATTTTATTTTTGTCTATCCGCTAAAATTATCAAAGCAGCTTAGTTAATAAAGCTAAATGAATAAATAAATAGATAAAATATCCTTCTTAATTACGCGACTGTCATGTATATTATTGATTTTATGTACTTTTAAATACATTAATTGAGAAATATTTTTAAAATTAATGTTTAGATTTTTGTTTTTAAGTTGTTTATATTAATTATCTACAAAACGGATAAAAAACGGATATAAAACATCAATAAATGCCTCCTGACTTTGAACATAGTAGGGGGATCAGACATTTGAGGATACTCTAATGTCAAAAAAAATTAAAAAATAAATAATGTTAATTTTATGTTTAAAAAATTTAAATTTTATAATTTTACGGCTTGCTCAAGGCCTAACGAGCAAATGATATTTGGTTATTTGGCCTTACAAAACTTGACACCAG